GAAGATACTTTGAAACCAGCGTTGGGTGGCCTTTACATGCAGGTCCTCTCCCCTCAGTGAGTTCTTTGAGAGATACCAGGAGCTTATACTTGCTGATGGTTGGGGAGGGTCTCCCCTCCGTGGATAGAGGTGAAAGTGATGTGGAAGCTTCCAAAGCCCAGATCACTGCTGTATTTCCCCCCTTCTCTCCAAGCTTGTCCCCTTCCCTGTAATGACTTGTGGATCCATTTCTGTGTCTTCAGGACGTCGCACTCACGTGGGCTGCCAGGGTTGGCCGGCAGGGGTGCTGGTCAGCATGTCTGGGAGGCAGCAGTGTTCTTAGAACAGAGTTCATGATGCTGGAACTCAGAACAGGGACCCGGGAGTCCGATGATGGGGGTCCTGAGCATGGGTGTGTTGTGTCCATTGACTGAACCTCACCTCAGCAGCTGGGGGCTCTCAAAGTTGCTGCCTCAGTTCACCACTGGGGGCAATTCTAGCTGCCTCTTGTCTATAGCACCTGCCTTTCCTGAGCCCATGAAGGTGGGGCTGATGGCACCAGCCCCCTACCCACAGTGCCCAGCGCAGCCACCTGGCCCTCCTCACTGTGCTTTCTCACTCCCCTCCTCCCTGATGCTTCCCAGACCCGCCTCCCAAACAGCCTCATGCGTCCAGGGCTCCTTGTCTCTCTCAGAGTCAGTTTCGGGGACAGCCAAAGGAAGGAGTCCAATCCTTTGTGTTACACAGTGAGGGTTCAACACATTGCAATACAGAAAAGCAAGTGTTTTCCCTGATACTGGCTTTGAAGAACTTAAAAGAGGATAAAACAGACTGGGCGCGGTGGCTCACACCTGTAATTCCAGCACTTTGGGAGGCCGGGGTGGGTGGATCACAAGGTCAGGAGTTCGAGACCAGCCTGGCCAGTATGCTGAAACCCATCTCTACTAAAAATACAAAAATTAGCCGGGCGTGGTGGCGCATGCCTGTAATCCCAGCTACTCAGGATGCTGAGGCAGGATAATAGCTTGAACCCTGGAGGTGGAGGTTGCAGTGACCCAAGATTGCACCACTGCACTCTAGCCTGGGACAGAGCAAGACTCCATCTCAAAAAAAAAACAACACTAAATATGTCATTATTACAGACATAACTAAGGGCTTCCTGGGCCTCGTGATACAAGGTGTGTGGCTGGCAACACCTGCGGCAAGTCTCCTCTGCTAGACCCCCTTTCCTGACTCCATGGCGGCCCCAGCGGGTGGGTATGCTCAGTGGGGAGGTGTCGCCCTGGAGACTACAGTGTGTTGAGCGCAGCAGGCCTGATGTGGGTTAAGTCAAGGACCAGGCCCCTCTGAGAATGTCCTCTGGGACTAGGATTCCATGTGGCATGATGAGCGTGATTACCAGCCATGGCCACTGGCTCCTGCGGGGCTTTTCATGAGCCATGATGTCTTCTGCCGTCAAAGGGCGACCGTAACTGCCGCCTGCTGTGGTTGAGAGAACCAAGTACACTGGAAAGGATGCGTCTACAGGATCTGAAACACGTCACTGAGTTTTGTTACAGTCAGTGGTAGGGCGGATCTGAGTTCCAGAGCATGGCTCACACACAGACCTTTCCTTGCATCAGTCTGTGCCGAAGTGTTTTTTTTTGTTTTTTTTTTTTCTTTTGCCCACATTACATCGCTTCATAATTTACCACCTATGTCGCGTGACTGTATATTTGGAACATTTCTTCACAAGTTTTAGACCATATTAAAGGAACACTGGCAGAACCCTGTTTCATTTCCCTTTCGTCTGTTCCCCTACACTGCCCTCCTGGTCCCCTTGAGGAACTAGACGAGCAATTAGAACTGGCCAGAGGTCCTTGGAGGAACAACAGCGAAACAGAAGCATTAGTAGCATTGTCGTCCCCAGTCTAACACTTCTTGGACCCCCAATGAGCAGACTTCCCTGTGGGCTGTTCATATCCCCATGCCCCGCTCAGTGGGCCTCGTGTCTGAGTCGTATTTGCCTGCTTTCCTTTGAGGTGGTGGGCGCCAAGGTTGTGACAAATGCCCGGAGTCCTGGAGCTCGCTGTTACGGTTTTGTCACGATGTCTACAGCAGAAGAGGCCACAAAATGCATTAACCACCTGCACAAGACGGAGCTCCACGGAAAGATGATCTCCGTGGAGAAAGTGAGTGGCCGTTTTCTTCCCAGGATATAGCCCACATTAGGAAACGAGGTAATACTTGCACTTGGTTGTCATTTTCAGGCCAAAAATGAACCTGTGGGAAAGAAAACCTCTGACAAAAGAGACAGTGACGGGAAAAAGGAGAAGTCGAGCAACAGTGACAGGTACCTCTCCTCCCTGGCTACATTAAAGGGGCAGGGTGTTTTACACAGAATCTCGCTCTGTCGCCCAGGCTGGTGTGCAGTGGGAAGATCTCCGCTTACTGAACCTCCGCCTCCCTGGCTCAACGGATTCTCATGCCTCAGCCTCCTGATTTGATGGGATTATAGCCACGCCCATCTAATTTTTGCAGTTTTAGTAGAGACGGGGTTTTGCCATGTTGGCCAGGCTGGTCTGGAACTCCTGGTCTCATGTGATCCTCCCGCCTCATCCCCACAAAGTGCTGGGAATACAGACATGAGCCACCACGCCCAGCTAACACGTCTGTTTTTTATAGATCTGCAAACCTTAAGAGGGACGATAAATGTGACAGAAAAGATGATGCTAAGAAGGGTGAAGATGGAAGTGGAGAAAAGAGTAAGGACCAAGATGATCAGAAACCTGGCCCCTCAGAGCGATCTCGAGCCACAAAGTCAGGTGGGCAGCTGATGAGCCCAGGATTCTGTCTTGTTTCTGTGCCTGGTGGGGTATGTTATTCTGCTGTCATTAGCTGGCAACCCAAACTGGATTCATGTTGCGGAGGGTTTTTCTCATCTGCGTGTTCATGGTCTTCCACTTACACTTTCCCTGTCTTTTCCGTAGGAAGTCGAGGGACCGAGCGGACTGTAGTAATGGATAAATCCAAAGGGGTGCCTGTGATTAGTGTAAAAACATCTGGGTCCAAAGAGAGAGTGAGTATTAATTTTCTAACTAAGCTATTTTGTTCTTTTTAGTTTGTATTTGTGTGCGTCTTAGGGAATTACTAAGCTTCATCTGAAAAAAGCTTTTATCTGCTGTTTCAAAAATGTAGAGATCTCAAACTATTTTTTTTGAGACAGAGTCTTGCTCTGTTGCCCAGACTAGAGTGCAGTGGTGCGATCTTGGCTCACTCCAACCTCCACCTCCCGGGCTCAAGTGATTCTCCTGCCTCAGCCTCCCGAGTAGCTGGGATTACAAGCGCACGCCTTTTTTTTTTTTTTTTTTTTTTTTTTTTTTTTTTTTTTTTTTTAGTAGAAACAAAGTTTCGACATGTTGGCCAGGCTGGCCTCGAACTCCTCACCTCAGGTGATCCATCCGCCTTGGCCTCCCAAAGTGCTGGGATTACAGGCATGAGCCACTGCGCCCGGCCTCAAATTATTTTAAGAAATGCAGAAAGTTTTCGTTTATCCTTACTTTATCCTTACTTTTGCTCTAATAACTGTTATTTATTTTCTAAAACTAACTTTAAAATTCACATATGGGAGCAGTTGGCTTTTCCCTGTGTGGCATTCCATGTTCCCTGTCTACCCCGAAAGTGTCATCACCTCCCCATGATGCATTCCTACACCCAGCAGTGTGGGGCATGCCATGGTGACCTGGCCTGTCTCCAGCCTCCTTGACCCCTTCCTGTACTCTTGTCTTCTTGCTGGGCTGCAGTGTGAGTTGGGCATGGTGGCTCATGCCTGTAATCCCAGCAATTTGGTAGGCTGAGCTGGGAGGATCACTTAAGCCCAGGAGTTGGAGACCAGTTTGGGCAACCTAGTGAGACCCCATCTTCACAAGAAATTTAAAAATTAGGCAGGCTTGATGGTATACATCTGTGGTCCTAGCTACTCAGAAGGCTGAGGTGGGAGAATGCCACTTAAACCTGGGAGGTCAAGGCCGCGTTCATTCCACTGCATCCTAACTTGGGAGAGAGTGAGACCTCATCTCAAAAAAAAACACCTATTATTTGCATGGTCTGTGCACACCAAGCCACCCTTACTGGTTAACTGTCAACTGGGGACACTCTGAGAGCCAACTTCCCAGTTGCCAGCCAAGGACAAGTCTTGCCAGCAGCCCCTCCTTAAGGAAGGGGAGGGACCTTGGACCTGCCGGGTCAACCCTCAGCTGCATGGAGAAGGAACCATTTCAGTTTGGTGAATGGAGCGGATTACTTGGGAGCTTTCAGTCTCTGTGTGCCAGTATTGTAATATGTCATAGCCTTTTATCCTTGTTCTATAAAACACCTTTGGAAAATGGAGAAAGGAAAGTGTGGGTTCTGGGGATAAAATGAGTAGGTCTCTTAAAAATGTAGTCGGCACAAATAAGGTACTTGTCAAGTGTATCAGAAGTGCTTCATTTGGGAACTCATTATGTGTTTAATTATGAAGGAAAAAGCAAAATTAAGGAATTTATTTTTGAAGCAAAAGACATAAAAAAGTGGTTTTTTGATCTTTTTTTTTTTTTTTTTTTTTTTTTGAGACGGAGTCTAGCTCTGTCACCCAGGCTGGAGTGCAGTGGCCGGATCTCAGCTCACTGCAAGCTCCGCCTCCCGGGTTCACGCCATTCACCTGCCTCAGCCTCCCAAGTAGCTGGGACTACAGGCGCCTGCCACCTCGCCCGGCTAAGTTTTTGTATTTTTAGTAGAGACGGGGTTTCACTGTGTTAGCAGGATGGTCTCGATCTCCTGACCTCGTGATCCGCCCGTCTCGGCCTCCCAAAGTGCTGGGATTACAGGCTTGAGCCACTGCGCCCGGCCTCATTTTTTTATTTTATTATTTATTTTTTATGTATTATTTATTTATTTTTTTTTTTTCAAGACGGTCTCGCTCTGTGGCCCAGGCTGGAGTACGGTGGCACGATCTCGGCTCACTGCAACCTCCACCCCCCGGGTTTTTTTTGTTGTTGTTGTTGTTTTTTCCAGGTTCATAATTTATTGTACAAATTGAATTATCACATGATGAGTTGGCATTAGCTTCTCCAGGCATGGGAACCTAATAGATGAGGGTAAGAACCATAGACAGTTTAAAATCCATTTATGTTGCTTTCACAGCTGGAGTTTTTTTGGACCTTAACTTGAAATATAAGACAAAGCAAAGCTTCCATATGTGGCCAGTACACAATTCATTCTCTGTGAGAGTGTAAGAGTTGAAATATATTTTAATACCAGTGAACTGGTATTGCGCATCACTTTCTGGACCTGCCATGATTTCAGTCTGCCAAAGCCACAAATTCCACAGCTGGTGTCCTTCAACGATCCTCCCAGGGGTTTTTAAGTGATTCTCCTGTCTCATCCTCCTGAGTAGCTGGGACTACAGACACCTGCCACCATGCCTGGCTAATTTTTGTATTTTTAGTAGAGACGGGATTTCACCACGTTGACCAGGTTGGTCTCAAACTCCTGACTTCATGTGAGCCACTGCGCCAGCAATTTTTTTTTTTTAGTCGAAGTCTTGCTCTGTCACCCAGACTGGAGTGTAGTGGCGCATCCTTGGTTCACCGCAACCTCCGCCTCCCAGGTTCAAGGGATCCTTCCACCTCAGCCTCCAAAGTAGCTGAGATTACAAGCATGCGCCACCATGCCCAGCTAATTTTTATTTTTTATTTTATTTTTATGTATTTATTTATTTTTTTTCTGAAACAGAGTCTTGCTCAGTTGCCCAGGCTGGAGTGCAGTGGCGTGATCTTGACTTACTCCTAGCTCTGCCTGCCGGGTTCACACCATTCTCCTGCCTTCCGAGTAGCTAGGACTACAGGCGCCCACCACTACGCTCGGCTAATTTTTTGGTATTTTTATTTATTAGAGATGGGGTTTCACCATGTTAGCCAGGATGGTCTCAATCTCTGGACCTCGTGATCCGCCCATCTTAGCCTCCCAAAGTGCTGGGATTATAGGCATGAGCCACCGTGCCCAGCAATTTTTATATTTTTAGTAGAGTCAAGATTTCACCATGTTAGCCAGGCTGGTCTCAAATTCCCAATCTCAAATGATCCACCTGCCTTGAACTTTGAAAGTGCTGGAATTACAGGCATGAGCCACTGTGCCCGGCCTCTGCTTTAACCTTTTTAATGTTTTTTGGTGAACTAGGCTTCCAAAAGCCAGGATCGCAAATCAGCCAGCAGAGAGAAGCGGTCTGTCGTGTCCTTTGATAAGGTCAAGGAGCCTCGGAAGTCGAGAGACTCAGAGTCCCATAGGTGAGTCGGGATCCAGAAATGGTTTGGTGTTTTTCCTAGAATGTGGTCATGACTGTGTCCTGAAGGACATTTGCAGAGTTCCCTGGGGTGGGATAGAGCTGTCAACCTTTTTGCTCCTTCAGCTTTCAGTTCATAGACTTGCTATGTTTTTTTTTTTTTTTTTTTTTTTGAGACGGAGTCTCGCTCTGTTGCCCAGGCTGGAGTGCAGTGGCCGGATCTCAGCTCACTGCAAGCTCCGCCTCCCGGGTTCACGCCATTCTCCGGCCTCAGCCTCCCGAGTAGCTGGGACTACAGGCGCTGCCACCTCGCCCGGCTAGTTTTTTGTATTTTTAGTAGAGACGGGGTTTCACCGTGTTAGCCAGGATGGTCTCGATCTCCTGACCTCGTGATCCGCCCATCTCGGCCTCCCAAAGTGCTGGGATTACAGGCTTGAGCCACCGCGCCCGGCTGACTTGCTATGTTTTAACTTTCATCCTACAGCTCTTTTCTTTTTTTTTTCTAAGACAGAGTCTCGCTCTCCCGCCCAGGCTGGAGTGCAGTGGCCGGATCTCAGCTCACTGCAAGCTCCGCCTCCCGGGTTTACGCCATTTTCCTGCCTCAGCCTCCCGAGTAGCTGGGACTATAGGCACCCGCCATGTCGCCCGGCTAGTTTTTTGTATTTTTTAGTAGAGACGGGGTTTCACCATGTTAGCCAGGATGGTCTCGATCTCCTGACCTCGTGATCCGCCCGTCTCGGCCTCCCAAAGTGCTGGGATTACAGGCTTGAGCCACCGCGCCCGGCCCTTTTTTTTTTTTTTTTTTTTTTTTTTGGAGACAGTCTTGCTGTGTTGCCCAGGCTGGAGTACAGTGGCGTGACCTCAGCTCACTGCAGCCTCCACCTCCAAGCAATTCTCCTGCCTCAGCCTCCCGAGTAGCTGGGACTACAGGCATGCGCCAGCACGCCTGGCTAATTTTTGTATTTTTAGTAGAGACAGGGTTTCACCATGTTGGCCAAGCTGGTCTGAAACTCCTGACCTCAGGTGATCCACCCGCCTTGACCTCCCAGAGTGCCAGGATTATAGATGTGAGCCACTGTGCCCAGCCTACCTATGGCTCTTTTCAAATAAGTCTCTTCCCAAAGATTGTAGAAGGTAGTAAAGGCAGGGAGATGGAATGCCTTCCAGCATCAATAGTGCACGTCAACAAAAAATACCAAATTTGCTCCAGAAGATGTGAAAGCGGGAAGACAGTGAGGTAGATCCAGCAAGGGCACTGAGAGGGCTTCCCTTTTTTTGAGATAGAGTCTCTGTGTCACCCAGGGTGGAGTGCAGTGGCATGATCTCAGCTCACCGCAGCCTCCACCTTCCCTGTTCAAGCAGTTCTCCTGCCTCAGCCTCCCAAGTAGCTGGGACTACAGGCACAAGCCACCACCCTCGGCTAATTTTTGTATTTTTAGTAGAGGTGGGGTTTGGCCATGTTGGCCAGGCTGGTTTCGAACTCCTGACCTCAAGTGATCTGCCTGCCTCGGCCTCCCAAAGTGCTGGGATTATAGGCGTGAGCCACTGCTCCAGGCCTGACAGGGCCTTGTTCTTAAATAAGAAAGAACTAAACACAAATGTTATTGGCGAATTACAGCTAATTTATCTTTTCTATGAAGAAATACTTCGTTAACTTTAGTTTTTGGTTTTTTTTTTTTTTTTTTTTTTTTTTTTGAGACGGAGTCTTGCTCTGTCGCCCAGGCTGGAGTGCAGTGGCGCAATCTCGGCTCACTGCAAGCTCCGCCTCCCAGGTTCACGCCATTCTCCTGCCTCAGCCTCCCGAGTAGCTGGGACTACAGGTGCCCGCCCCTGCGCCCGGCTAATTTTTTCTATTTTTAGTAGAGACGGGGTTTCACCATGGTCTCGATCTCCTGACCTTGTGATCCGCCCACCTCAGCCTCCCAAAGTGCTGGGATTACAGGCGTGAGCCACCACGCCCGGCCAACTTTAGTTTTAAAAGTAAGTAAAAGTAAGGACCTCTGGGCGCAGTGTCTCACACCGGTAATCCCAGCCCTTTGGGAGGCCGAGACTGGCAGATTACCTGAGGTCAGGAGTTCACCAGCCTGACCAACATAGTGAAACGCCATCTCTACTAAAAATACAAAATTCGCTGGGCGTGGTAGTGCATGTCTGTAATCTCATATACTTAGGCTGAGACAGGAGAATCGCATGAACCCAGGAGGTGGAGGTTGCAGTGAGCCAAGATCCCACCATTGCACTCCAGCCTGAGCAACAAGAGCAAAACTCCATCTCAAATAAAAAATAAGGACCATTAGTTTAAAAGGAGGGGGAGAGGGCACTGCTTTGCCTATAAAGTAATCACCCTTTTATTCCTTTAAAAATAAAAATTCCTTTAAAAAGAAAAAAAAAAATCTCACATAGTCCTGTGAATGCAGACATTGGCAGATGGCATTTCTGCTGGGGGAGTAATGAACACGGACAGCCTGGGGGGCACCCGCAGGAGCCTGCAATGCTAAACGCTAGAGTGTTCCAGACCCTTGACCCCTCTCCGTGTCTGCCCTAGAGGAACCTATAAACAAGGAAGTGTTGGGCTTGGGTGTCCCGTCAGGTTGTGAGCATTTGGACACAACTGAAAAGTTCCGGTAAACCGCAGCCCTTTCATACTAGGGGCTCCTCCAGAAAGTGCTGAGATCCACAGAGGCAGGCGTGGGAGGATCCAAGACATGTTGGGTGAACTGAGGAACTTGCAGTCATTTGGGTCCAGAACACAATGAGGCAAGATTATACATTTCTGCTGGGACAGAAACACAGTTGTCCCAGAGATAATTGACCTCAGGACCCCTACGGATACCAAAATTTGCAGAGGATCAAGTTTCTGATATAAAACGGTGTGATATTTCTGCATATAACCCATGTACATCCTCCTGTACACTTTAAATCACTTCTAGATAACTTCTGATACAATGAAAATGCTCTGTCAGTAGTTGGTATACTGCACCGAGGTGCTTTTTTTTTTTTTTTAGTAGCTCCCTGCACACACCCTTTTGTTTTGTTTTGTTTTGTTTTGAGACAGGGTCTCACTCTTTCACCCAGGCTGCAGTTAAGTGGTACAATCATAGTTCACTGCAGCCTCTGCCTCCTGGTTTCAAGTGATTGATCCTCCCACCTCTGCCTCCAAGTAGCTACCACGCCTGGCTAATACTATTTTTTGTGGAGATGGGGTCTCACTATATTGCCCAGGCTGTATATCTAATAACTGTGTAGGTAAAGGATCAAAAGAAGAAAATCTGAGCCTGGGCACAGTGGCTCACACCTGTAATCCCAGCACTTTGGGAGGTGGAGGCGGGCGGATTGTTTTGAGCTCAGGAGTTCAAGAACATCCTGGGCAGCCGTCTCTACCAAAAAAAAAAAAAAGAGAGACTTTCTGGCTCCTGTCTTTTGTGTTTTATATACAAAGACTGGAGGAACACACTAAAATGTCATCTGTGTCCCTGCCAAAAGGTACAACTGGTAATGTCCTCACACTTGTGGGGCCTGCCAGCCCCACTTCACAAGGACTCATTTAATCCTGTGGTCTAGGGAGTGAAGGTTCCAGTTCACACTCACTCACTATGAAGCATATACTCTGATACTCTGTTGCTTTTTTTTTTTTTTTTTTTTTGGAGAAGGAGTCTTGCTCTGTTGCCAGACTGGAGTGCAGTGGCTCACTGCAACCTCTGCCTCATGGGTTCAAGTGATCTTCCTGCCTCAGCCTCTCTAGTAGCTGGGACTACAGGTGCATGCCACCACGCTCAGCTAATTTTTGTATTTTTAGTGGAGACGGAGTTTCACCATGTTGGCCAAGGTGGTCTCAATCTCTTGATCTCATGATCCACCCGCCTCAGCTTCCCAAAGTGCTGGCATTAAGGCGTGAGCCACCACACCTGGCCTGTTGCTTATTTTTGACTGACTGTTTCCTGAAATCACTTGTCAAGCTCCAGGAAATGTTGGATAAATGAGGCCCAGTTCACGTTATACCTGATCTCACACACACACAGCCTGGGCCTCATTCCTGGGATTTTCCTGGACGACTCCCGTGG